TCATGACCTGAGCCGAAGGCAGCCGCTTAGCCGACTGAGCCACCCAGGCGCCCCGGGATGAGAGATTCTTAATAATGTGTAAGGTTTACTTTGCTAAAGCTACTTCGCTAAATGTTCCTCCTGATTTCAGTGATTGTCTAAAGAAAGGATTAGAAAATGCTAATCACATTAGGTTTGGGCTCTATGTAATTATGTTTCATAAGGCATGATTTGGTCAGTGGCATATCTAATTCTGTATAATACGATGGTTTGTTTTTTTTTAAGATTTTATTTATTTATTTGACAGAGAGAGACACAGCGAGAGAGGGAACACAAGCAGGGGGAGTGAGAGAGGGAGAAGCAGGCTTCCCGCTGAGCAGGGAGCCCGATGTGGGGCTCGATCCCAGGACCCTGGGATCCTGACCTGAGCCGAAGGCAGACGCTTAATAACTGAGCCACCCAGGCGCCCCTAATACGATGTTTTTAATAGACAAAACAACTACTAAATAAACAATGCTGAGGGTAGCATTTAAGCTGGCAAAATAGTTTCCACAGGTTGTTTCAGGAAGGATATCTGAGACTATTATTAACAGCAATCTTTCTCTCCACCACACCCCACCCCACCGCCCCCTGCTCCTCATGTTTTCTCCTTCCTTCGACTTCTTTGCCTCTATTCAGGCCACCAGAACTACTTGACCCCACAAATGACCCACAGCCTACTCAAGTCTACTGCTCACATGCCAATGCACATGAGCCTCAGAGGACATCAATACCTCACTAGCTGTGTGGCAATCTCTCTGTGCCTCAGTTTCCTCTCCTATAAAGGGAAGATGAAAATAGCATGCCTATTTCAATTAAATTAAATAAATTACCTGTTAATCACTTACAACAGTACCCATCAAATAGTATATATAAATGTTTATTAAAGAAATAAGGGGCGCCTGGGTGGCTCAGTTGTTAAGTGTCTGCCTTCGGCTCAGGTCATGATCCCAGGGTCCTGGGATCGAGCCCCACATCGGGCTCCCTGCTCAGCGGGAAGCCTGCTTCTCCCTTTCCCACTCCCCCTGCTTGTGTTCCCTCTCTCACTGCGTCTCTCTCTGTCAAATAAATTAATCTTAAGAAAAAAAGAAAGAAATAATACCTTCTCACACCCATTAGGATGGCTATTATCAAAAAACAACAAGAAAAACTATCAAGGAAACAAGTGTTGGTGAGGATGTGGAGGAACAGGAACTCTTGTACACTGCTATAGGCAATGGAAAATGGTACATGGCTATGGGGAACAGTATGATGGTCCCTAAAAATTTAAAAATAGAATTACCATCCGATTCAGCAATTCCACTTCTGAGTATATATCCAAAAGAACTGAAAGCAGGATCTCCAAAAGATATTTGTACACCCATGCTCATTGCAGCATTATTCACAATAGCTAAGAGGTGGGAACCACCCAAGGGTCCATTATTGGATGAATGGATAAGCAAAAGGTGATATCTACATACAAAGGAATATTATTCAACCTTAAAAAGGTAGGAAATGCTGACACCTGCTACATCATGGACGAACCCTGAGGACATTTCATGAGGTTAAATGAAATAAGCCAGTAACAGGAAGACAAATACTGTTCATTGATATGAGGTACCTAGAGTAGCCAAAGTCATAGAGACAGAAAGTATAATGCTGGTAGCCAGGGGCTGGGAGAGGGGAAGATGGGGAGTGATAGGTACAGAGTTTCAATTTACAAGATGTAAGAGTTATGGGGAGGGATGGTGGTGACAGCTGCACAACAGTGTGAATATATTTAATATCACTGAACTATACAATTAAAAATGGTTAAGATGGTAAACTTTATGTGTATTTTAACACAATATAAAGAAGCAAAGAATACCTTACTTCGGCACAATTCTTTACAGCCACTTTGAAAGTACTACTTTTCACACATTATTTCAATTCACCTTCAACATTCTGTAGGACCATGGCTCTGTTTTCCAGATAGGAAAACCAAGGCCAAGTGATTTTTGCCAGTTAACAAGAGGGATTAGTAGTGGAATCCAGTCACATGTATGTTTTCTCCGTTTGCCAGGACTCTTTCCACTACATAATCCCACTGAAAATGTTAAAGGAAAAGTCTGAGCAGCTTAAAATATTAGGAAAAAAACCATAACGGAATCTCCATAAAGAGGTAGACAGGACTGAAAATTATACTTGGGCTCTATTTTTAGACTCTGCCCTATCCTGGCTCCGCTAACTTTGGGCGTGTCAGCTACCCTCAGTGCTCAGGGCAGCTACTGAGGCCAAGGGTTCACGTTTCTTTTCTTTTGGGAAAGGGTTCGTGATCTCCTCTGAGAATGAGAGGAAAAAGAGGAGACGTCTCTCCACAGATGAACGCGCAAAAAACAAAACCCGGAAGCCCACCCAGACCTCCAGGTTGGAAATTCCTGAGCGGGCCCAACCCCCTTCCGTGTCAAGGAAGCTGAAGCCAGATGGGGAGAGAAGGGGAGATGCCCAGGGTACCTCCCGACTTTGACGTTCTGAGAAGGGGTCGGAGCCTCTCACAGTCACCGCCGCCACCCTAGCCGCCGGGTCCGGAAGGCCGATAAGACCCAGGGGCCCTCGGAGGGTCCCGACGCCCCAAGCCACCGCGGCGGACACGGTCGGCTGCTAGGAGGCGGCTCCTCGGACCCGACAAGACGGGTACTCACCTTTCTCCAGAGGCGCTGACTCCTCCTCGACCGCCCAGCCCGTGCGCTCCGGCTGCGGAATCATAGCCTGCGACCCCAGCCCGACAACCGCCAGCAATCCGTCAGCCATTTCAAATTTCCGCGGGCAGCCGTCTAGCCATGTAACAAGGTAACGCAGGCGTTTCTGATTGGATGATGGCCGAGGCTCTCGGGCCAATTAAAGGAAAGCGTACGTTGCCCCATTTCCGAACGAGCTCCGCCCTCTCCAGCCTCCTCTAATCCCGGTAACAGCGCCTTTGCGCCACCTGCTGGGCGGGCGGACCGCTCTTCCCGTCCTCGCTCTTGGTCTTTTGTTTACTGTGACTAACGGGGACAAAATTGAACTGGAACGTAATTTGGGATGATTTCTGAAACATTACCAAGCCATGCCTGGAAATGGGTATTAGCATAAGAAGCACTGAATTGGGGATCAAAAAACATAGTATTTAGACTTGTTTCTGCCATTACGAGTGGTATTACCTTAAGCAAGTCACTTGACCCGTCGGAAGGTCATCTTCAGTTGTAATAGTGTATTGGCCTAGGTGGCTGTGAACTTTTCATCACTAAAAATCAGCCTCAGTGTCTCTCAACATCCCCCCCAACCTCTCTCTCATTTGCTATGTATGCACACACACAATATTTTCAAAGAATGTCAAATCAAATTTAGTAAGTAAAAGTATGTTTTACCCATAATTATTAATCAAAGGTAACTGTAATCTCCAATAATAACAGCTAACATGTATTGAGTATTGTGTGCAAGACATCACCTATACTATCTTTTTTCCAGTTTTATTGAGAAATAATTGACCTACATCACCCTATAAGTTTAAGGCATGCAGTGTAACCATTTGATTTACATATATTGTGAAATGATTACCACCGTAGGTCCAGCTAACATCCATTTTCTTTTTTTTTTTAAATCTCTACTTTTTTTTTTTTTAAGATTTTATTTATTTATTTATTTGACATAGAGAGAGAGAGAGCAGCAGGTAGAGGGAGAGGGAGAAGTAGGCTCCCCGCCGAGCAAGGGGCCCGATGTGGGGCTCGATCCCAGGACTCTGGAATCATGACCTGAGCCGAAGGCAGCCACTCAACTGACTGAGCCACCCAGGCATCCCAGCTAACATCCATTTTCAAAGGTAGCTACAATAAAAATAAAAGAAAGAAGAAAAGAAGAAAAGAAAAAAAATTTTTTTTCTCCTTGTGATGAGAGGATTTAGTCTCTTAACTTTTCTATAGGTCAAACAGCACTGTTAGCTATAGTCAGCCTGTTGTATATTACATACCTGCATTATTTTATTCAATCTTAAAAAAAAATCCTATGACACAGGAAATATTATTATTCTCATTTTACATTTGAGGAAACAGAATCACCAAGAAGTAAACTAACTTGCCCAATTTAACCCAGCACAGTCAAGATTATAAACCAGCCAAACTCCGGAAGCCACCCCTTTATGCTTCAGCTGGGCCATGACCTGTCAGAACCGAGGTGGGCGGGTGATGGCAGAGGTTACCAGAACACCAAATGGGCTGAGTCCCACAGAAGGCCAAGAGCCTGGTTGTGACAGTTAGGCCATGCAGTCTTTCATAGGGAAAATGTATCCACTTACTGACTTGAAGGAATACCTTGGGCTAAAGTCCCTCAGATCCCTTATGAATGAAACAAAATTAAGCCAGGGGAGGCAACTGTGGAAAACTGCACTTAATTCCACTAGCTTTTCCAGGAAATACGATTTCTTTGACTCTTTTGTACAGCATCTGACCTTACACTTATTCATTCACTGAGCAAATATTTATTGAGTTCCACAAGGTGAAAACACACAAAACAAGAAAAATCAAGAAAAGCATCAGGCCTTGAAGACGAAGCTAGCTTTCTCACTGTTGTCCTTTTAGCCCTCCCACCCGCAAACACCACAGGTAGCGGGATTTCTCCTCACCTTTTTCCCTCAGCCCTGGAGACAACATAGCTCTCTTCTTGTTCAATTACCAAATATTTCATCAGCTGTCAAGATATTACCCAAACCAGTGCTTCTGGAAAAGTCTTGGAAAGGAACAGGAGACCACAGAGTCAGAGACAAAATATCTATGCTGCTGCAAACTCCATTAAGGACAAATTATTTATTAAACTGGATGCATTTCCAAACCTTCATCAATGTTTATTCATTACTTGCTCAATCATATCAAAAGTTTTTACAGTTTTCCCCTAAGTGGAGACCTGTAAGGTACACACCTTTCTTGGGAGTTTGCCTTCCCTGCTCCCTCCCTGTTATCCTAAGGAAAGGATTTTTTTCCTTCTTCCTTTCCACTTGTGGCCTATCTCAACCTTCCACCTGCCCTAAGTTAGGATGGCACCCATTATTCCCACTCTTTTCTATATCTTTTCTTTTTTCATTTATTTTATTTTATTTATTTATATGAGAGAGTGAGAGTGAGAGAGATCACAGAGGGAGAGGGAGAAGCCGACACACTGCTGAGCAGGGAGCCCAAAGCGGGGCTTGATCCCAGGACCCCGAGATCATGACCCGAGCTGAAGGCAGACGCTCAACTGAGTGAGCCACCCAGGCGCCCCTCTTTTTTATATCTCTGCTCTCTTTCCCACCACTAGGTCCTTATATTATGTCTACACAAGGACACAAAACTAAGTGCCTTCCCCAAAAATCTCCCCAAAGTCCAGATGCAATCCTAAGATACAGCCTATGTGCTTTCTTTCTCTATAGTGCATTCCTCTCCTGCTTTCCTGAGGGCCAGTAGCTCCCTCCATCACCCTCCACTTCACAGGAGCACTGACTGCCCAGCACCCCTCCTCTGTCGTCTTTCCTCCCTTGGCCTCTGGTTGCTCACTCTCCTGGTCTTCCTTCCTGCCCTTGTTCCTCTTCCTTCCCCTCAGGTTCCCTAAACCTAAGGGTTTCCCAAAGGCGTGTCCTGACTCCACCTTTCTCAGGAGGAAACATAAGTGAGTGAAGAGGGCCAAGGACTGTGGCAATCACTGTAAGCACACAGGAAAGTGGATTTGCTGATTCACTTGACAAATAATAAACATAGAGAGTGTAGACTAAGTGCCAGACACCATTCTAGATTCAAGGGAAATGGGAAACAAGACAGGTAAGGCCCCTGTCTGCATGGAATTCACAGCCTGATGAGGATACACAATGAACAAGTAAAAAAAAAAAAAAAGCAATTAACAAGAGTCTATTATGAAAAAATACTAAAAATAAAATAAAATTTAGTGATATGATAGAGAATGACGAGTGAAGAGGAAAAATTCAGATTTTTATGTGAAAATGCCTGATTTTCAAGTAACAACTATTTTTTTAAAAAACTTAAACACTATGGAACCCAGAAAAACTTATTTCCTAGGCCAGCTCTGACCCATGGGCCACTAGATTGCAGCCTGTGTTCTAAGTCCCAACAACTCAAAGTATAGCCCAGGGGCCATTTCTTGTTAGAAATGCAGAGTTTCTCCCCCACCCCCAGATCTGCTGGATGGGAATCTGCATTTCAACAAGATCCCTAGTCCCCAACGACGACATCATTCATATTTGACACAAAGCCCTTCACACCTGACTTCTCTCCTGCCGCCAGTTCAGTTTTCATCTTTCTGCTGGAACACTTGATCTGGAATTCTTGCCCCTGATTCACATTCACTGTGCTGTAAAGCCAAGCTCAAGTGCAGTTTACCTTCCAGCATACATGACACTCAACTCACTCCACCTTCCCTGCCACAGCCCCGTAGGGCCACCACCATCTCCCATTCAGGCTGTCAAAATGGCATCTGGGAAGTCACCCTGTCTGAGAAGACTTCCCCCACCCTCTCACTTGCTTCCAGAATCAGTTGCTCCCCTTTCACTGCTCCTACTACAGGGGTCTCAAGCATAAATGCCCAGAATGCCCAGGCAACTGACATAAGAAAAGAAGTAGACCCCTGTGTGAGTCCTATAGGAAGTAGTGATGGACCCCGTGTTGCCATGTTGGTTTTCCAAGAGAAGCCAGAAATCTGATTTTTATAAGAAATCTCCCATATTAAAAAGTTGGCAACTAATTTTAGAAACTTAAACACTGTGCCAGCCAAATAAACATATCTGTAGAACATCAGTTTGCAACTTCAGAGCTTCAATCTACTCGCGACATTGATCAGAGACATTGCTATAGGTTCTTTGAAGACGAGTACCTCATCCCATTCATCTCTGTATTGCTGGCACTGACGACTAAACTTCACTTAGTAAAGGGACAAACCAAATTAATACTGCTCCTCTTATATACAACGTGTGAAGAGAGACAGATAGACAACAGGCCCAAAATGGAGTCACTTGGGCTAAATCCACATCACCAAACCTAGATTTAATACCTAATCTAACTGCAGTTTCAACCTCTCCCAGGACTGTAATCTTTTTTTTTTTTTTTTTAAAGATTTTATTTATTTATTTGACAGAGAGAGAGACAGCGAGAGAGGGAACACAAGCAGAGAAGTGGGAGAGGGAGAAGCAGGCCCCCCGCCGAGCAGGGAGCCCGACGCGGGGCTCGATCCCAGGACTCCGGGATCACGACCCTAGCCGAAGGCAGACGCTCAACGACTGAGCCACCCAGGCGCCCCTCCCAGGACTGTAATCTTAAACCATAAAATCTGGAACTTCCCTATTAGCACTAGTGAGGTAATCCACTTGATAGACCCCTTCTGCCCCCAAAGTAGGATGAGGTCACACTTCTTCCTTGCCCCTGTCCCCTTCTGCTTATAAAATCTCCCATTTTGTTCAGCTTTTTGGAGCTCCTTTCTATCTGCTAGACAAGTTGCTGACCTATTCATGAATCACTGAATAATGCCCATAAGATCTTTAAGGTTTATTCAGTTGAATTTTTTTTTTAAAGATTTTTATTTATTTATTTGACAGAGAGAGACACAGCGAGAGAGGGAACACAAGCAGGGGGGAGTGGGAGAGGGAGAAGCAGGCTCCCCGCAGAGCAGGGAGCCCGATGTGGGACTCGATCCCAGGACCCTGGGATCATGACCTGAGCCGAAGGCAGTCGCTCAACCAACTGAGCCACTCAGGCGCCCTGAATTTTGTTTTTTTAACAAATGTAATATTACAACACCATTAAACCAAAGGCTCAGGTTTAGAATCAAGTGGCCGGGGGCCTGGACCACTCCTGCGGCTGCTGCCCAAAGGCCTC